AGTCTACTGGCTTAATAGATAGAACTGGGAAGGGGAGTTCGACGAATGAGTGAATTGCGGGCGCGGGGGGCGGATGGAGTGGTGGTAGTGGTGAATAGTTGAAACAACCGGTCGGTTGAATTTTCTTGTTCTAGTTTCCAGCTAAATCAGGATAAATTGCAAATGATCGCGGTCAAAGCAGTCCTAATCATTCTATTTTCATACAGATGTTTTTGGTCATCGTGAACAGAAATTCTNACTACTACTACTACTACTACTACTACTACTACTACTACTACTACTACTACTACTACTACTACTACTACTTCTACTACTATTACTACTACTAAAGAAGTCCTCTAACTTTTGGATTTGACTCACAATAATTTCCGCCCTAAATTCGAAGTTTTATCATGTGAAATACATATAAGCTTAAACTTTTCTCATTTCTGTGAGCTATTCACGCGCTCGCACACACACACACACACACACACACAGACGCATCCGACCACGGAATCAAAAAGAGCAATACCGTACCCAGCTCCCGTGGATGAAAAATACCATATGGTGCCAGCCACTTTGTGTTCACTGTTTTGTGTAGCTTCACTGGTGTTCAGTTATGAGATGCGTCTATGCTTTGCCTAGCTCCCCTCCCCAGTTGGGAAAACTCAGTTGTTCGGTCACAGACCACGTGAGATCGCAAAGAGCTTCAAATGTTCGAGACATTATAATGACTAAATAATGATACTGGTATTCCGGTTGACATTTCTGGAGAATGAACGTAGATTAGAGTCCTCCCAAGGCGGATGTTGGTGCAGCTTGTGGTATTGTATGAGTGTCATTTAAGGCATCGGGGAAAATATCACGGGCATTGATGAAAGGCAATCCTTATCTCTTTCAATAGGAATTTAGCCTAAGTAACCTGTTATTCGAAGATTTACGGGGTTGTAAAAAACAATGAGATGATTCAGTGAATGAATGCGAGCGATGTTTGGAACGACTAGCACGCAGAGGATGAGCTTCATCACCCAAGAAAACACTAGGTCTGAAACCAGTTAGACAAAAGCCGTACCAAAAAGACACCTAATGGAATTGTGAAAATGCAATTTACAATAGCTTATCCCAAACAGATCAACTTAAAGTCTTTTTTGTGATATGACTCACGAATTCTAGAGGAAACAGTACAGAATAATCGGAGAACAAAAATACGTACAGAAGGTAATACTGTTTGACCTGTACTAAGCTGTCTCGCTCATCTGGTAAATCTCAAAGTCAAAACATTGCAATTCTCATAGTTTTTTCATCATTACTTCCTTTTATTGGATATTCAATGATGCGATTTTTAGGAAGGAAGAAGTGGCCAATCAAAGGGTTGCCATATAACACTTAAATGGGGAAAGTCAGTTGTTGTTGTTGTTGTTGTTGGTGGTGGTGGTGGTGGTGGTGGTGGTGGTGGGATTCGAACGCACATCCCAGAGGTGATAATCTGGTGACGTTACCACCAGGCTAGTGTGTTCCGTCCACGGGAGGAGGACGCTAGCGCGGTATACTCAGACTGAATGAGAACAAATTGTAGAAGGAAGTCAACGAATACAGCTACTAAATATGAAAAATACATCCAAAACTTTTAGAAGAGCTAACGAAGAGTCCATAATCATTTGAAAGGTGAGAGTGGGGAAGTATACTGTAGATATTACTGGTGCAGTTACAAAGAATATACATATATTCTTTCACTCTTTCTCTCTCGCTGTTCAGGATAAATCCGTCCGGGATACCCAATTCTCGCTATACTACGAATAGTTAATTTTTGGACAGTTGCATAACGATCAAGACCGGTATTTGTTACGACTGTCACAAAATTCGCTACGCTGCTAGATCCGATACAATGCGGATCACACATGTCCGGTACGAAGCAAATGAAATGTGAACTGAAAAGCTGGTAGGCATTGTACCGTTGCTTTTCTAACTGGTTGGGCCTCATCAGCAGCGTGAATCCATCGAAACAACTGTGGATCGAACGCAGGATCGCTCTCACTTCTGCTACCCACTTGACCACGTGACCACCAGATAAGTGATCAGACCGTTTTTCATTATGTCAATATACGTACAATTGTTTTTCAAGGAAATTCACGATACGGATGAGTAGCAGAATTAGTCCCAAAAAAACAAGCATTACAGTAAGATCACTCCGCTCGAACGGGGTTGTTGTTGTTGTTGTTATTGGTGTGGGGAATTCTACCATCAGTTCCAGATTTGTTCACTCCAAAATGAAGATTGAATGAAGGCTGGTTTGTTCTTAAGTTGGTATGTGTCTCCTAACGCGTGTTAACAGTAAATGCGATTTGTTGTCTGGTTTGTACTGATACTTGTGAACGACTGTAAAGGGACAACGATCTAATCAGATTTAGACAAGCGGAATCACTCGTACAAAAATAAGTTGACTATCTGTAAACTTTACTGACAATGTATTATTCAGGGTTTACAACAGTTATGTTTGTCTGAGTCTGTAAATGAAAAAAAAACAATGCACCAGACCAATCACACTGATATCCTCTTGCAACAGTGCCGTATGGGATAAGCGCGGCTCAGAGCGTAGAATGTTGATCACCAACCAAGATTTTGTTCACGGCACTTATATTTCATCGACCAGTTTTCCAATATAGCTGAGTGTGCAAAGCAAACAGGAGGTTTATGTTGATCCAGACGATGGGGTTGAAGACATTTTTGATCAGTGAACAACTATGCGATCCTGAGTCATACGTCAGTCTTGATCACACAGTTCCGATGGGTCCTGTTTGTGTTTCAATATCACGACTGTAAGACCAATGTAACCATTTTCAGTGTTCCGCAGGTTATTTTCATTTTGTTGGGGATAACTTCTCGATTATTTCTGAAGGCGATTAACTTCCGTAACGGATCAACACTCTTGGCAATCATTTTCTTTTGGATACGACTAGCTGCATGTACCCGGGTCACGGGTTGACAAATAGAATTGCGGTTGTACTTAAACATTTTTTTGGAAAACGAAGCTGAATAGAATAATACTCTATTCATCCGATTCTCTCCGGTATGTCATTCGGAGAAAGGTAGGGTGAGACGAGGTTTATGGCAAGTCCGTGGAATAATAGAGTGCACTGACCGTGTGACACGTGCGAGGATTTACTCAGACATGATCAGAAAGTGATTGATCGTGTATTAGCAATTTGATACCACGATGACTCCCGCCCCCTGTTATCTTTCACTATACACAGAACTAAATATACGCCATAGAGTGTGTGGTACCATTACCTTGTGTTTCCTATCTTGTCTGCGAGCCCCCC